TGGAGGAGCTCAGCTATGAGGAAAGATTAGAGGAACTGAATTTATTCTCTCTTGAGAAGAAGAGATTAAGGGGGGATATGATCAACATGTATCAATACATCAGTGGTTCATATAGTGAATTCAAAGTAGAGTTATTGACCCTGAGGTCATCACAGAGGACAAGGGGGCACTCTTTACGTCTGGAGGAAAAGAAATTAAATCTCCAAATACAGAAAGAGTTGTGAGAATGTGGAATAGACTCCCTCAAGAGTTGGTTCTAGCCAGCTCAGTGGATTGCTTTAAAAAAGGTCTGGATTGTTTCTTGGATACACAGAATATAACTGGATACTAACATTTATAGGTAAAGTTGATCCAGGGAAAATCCTCTCGGGGGATCAGAAAGGAATTTTTTTTCTCCTGCAGAAACAAATTTGATAATGCTTAGCTGGGTTTTTTGACTTCCTCTGGTTCAACTGTGGGTGTAGGATTAAAACATTTTTTTTTTATGGTTGAACTGGATGGACTTTTGTCTTTTTCCGGCCAGACTATGTAACTATGTATCTACAGAACAGGAAGTGAAAGTAACTACTAAATGGGCCACCGATGGCAAAACACCTGACAAGGGTTTTTAACAAATTCCTACTCTGTTCAAAATTTAAATAAAAGGTTTGGGTTTAGCTATACCTAAAGGCATCTCCTCCAGAAAAGATGGCCTTAACTATTAGAATACATGCATTATTGTAAAACGATACAAACAATGAACTTTACAATGTTAATTAAATCAGAAAGGGGTCATTCCGTGTTCATGTATATAGTTCAGAAGTGAAGGTGTTGATGGGTGATTTCTTTATGAGATAAAGTTCTCCTTCAGCCTAGGTTCAGACTGATGGAGCGAGATGCTGTGCGATTTTACATGTGGTTTGGGAGTACTAGTGCAGTGCAAATCTGTGTCGCGATTTGTGCTTTTCAGATGTGATCCTTGCATGCTTAGGAGCTTTAAATTGCACCACACTGATTACGCACAAGATCATTTTTTTAACCGCATCAGAATCGCACTGCATGAATGTGAATGGCCTTCATGAAAACAAGGTATTTTCACTTAACATGCAAATCTATGCGCTTTTGAACATATCAGAACCGCATCAGATTTGCATCAGTGTGAACCAGGGCTAAAAGTAAAAAAAACGATCAATGATTGAACCTACAAAATTTAAAGAACTTCATTAATAACAGCATAGCGCATTCATGTTAATTAATCAAAAAACAACATTTGTTGATCTGTTAGATTACTCTAATTATTCTGTATTGCTTTCCTAATCAGTTGTTGGTAAGTCATTAGAAATGTGGATGTTTCATAATGACTTAACAAGGGAAACATAATATTGTGTTCTTAGAAGTGAACATATTGTACAGATGTATCTAGTTTATATGTATAAAAACAACAGAGCATATTGTTTTTGAATACATGTGCAATTTAGATGGGTCAGTAATATGTGTTCACAAGCCTTCATTATTCATATTAACCCATATGTTAATGAAGGTTCATTATAGAAGGAAGGAACATCAGTATTAAATAACAAATTAAAAATGATTTTGTTAATCGGGTACGCTTATACAAAGTGTCGACATGCATTAACTGATAAATATAAAATTATTATGCTATGTGTAGTTATGAATAAAGAATCAAAAGCAGAACGGTGGCAGCATTTGTTAGCTAGCAGTAGATCTTTGTGAATAAAATCCTATCAGGCTATTTTCCACAGCTTTCAATGTTAGGTAAAATTAATTTGAAAAGATCTGTTTATGAGCCTTACAAACATATGCACCCTACAATCATGAACTTACGTGACCCATTTGCTTTTTTATAGTATCTGCTTGAATGATTATGACTTTCTTTGCCAAAAGAGATCTCCTGTGATCATGTGCTGCATGCACCCCTAAGCCCAGCAGGTTGTAATTGATTCCCTTCTATCTAAAAGTTGGCGAGATACAGAAATTAAATGGATCTAAACCCAGTCATTGAGATGCCAGTTGGCAAGAAGTACAGTATTTTCTGGCGTATAAGACTACTTTTTATACTTAAAAATATACCCCAAAAATTGGGGGTCATCTTATACGCCGGGTATAAAATGTGAACCTTGAGTTTGTTTGGGTCAAGCTGGCTGGATGTGTGGCAATACTGTACATACAGTATACTGCGCTGAGCCAAGCGGTTTCAAAACGTACCGGTACATCCCTACTGTAATCAGCCCGCTGGATGCGTGTATGTACAATCACGGCAAGTGATGTATTCTACTAATGAATACAAAGCCTGCTCGGATTGGCTGAGTCAGAGAGGTGGGCTGATGATGTCACAACCTCAGCCAATCCGAGCAGGCTTTGTATTCATTAGTAGAATACATCGCTTGCCGTGATTGGCCCAGTGTTTACTGTATGTAGCCACAGCTACCATACATACACGCATCCAGCGGGCTGATTAAAGTAGGGACGTACCGGTACATTTTGAAACAGCTTGGCTCAGTATACTGTATATACCACACATCCAGCGGGCTGACAGATTAATCTGTCATAGGGACATTTGTTTTGAGCCAGCTTGGCTCAGCACGGTATACTGTATGTACATTACTGCACATCCAGCGGGCTGTATATATACTGTATACTGTATGTAGCCGAAGCTACCGTATTACCGCACATCCAGCGGTAACCATCTGATTTGGAATTTGATCCATATGATGACTGTCTTACAAATGTATCACAAGATGTCGTTCATGAACTTATGATATCAGAGGATGAACATGAGGATTTTGAAGGATTTTAAGTACCGGTAAGTCATAACCATTTCAATTAAAAAATCTGATGTTTTTTAATGGTGTTGCCTTGGAAGGGGGGTAGTCTTATATGGCGAGTATAGCCCAAAACCTATGTTTTTTAACTGGAAAATTAGGGGGTCGTCTTATACACCCAGTCGCCTTATATGCCGGAAAATACGGTAGCTTTTGCATCTAAAGGTGGGTTCTTTTGACTGTAAGATGATAGAGGGGGACAGTGTCACTCTGGATGTGCTCATTTTCATATGAATGCTCATTCTCATGAACATAAATTTGTTTGTGCCCATACTCATGAGCATAGATGTGTAATTGGAATTGCAAGATAGTGCACATGTGGACGCACGGGCAACTATTTAAACCTGAGGCCTGCTCAGTATCATTGCTGGATGGTGTTCAGTTTTACTACAGTCTACAGTTTTTCGAGAAGCCTGCTTGATTTTTTTTTTGCACTGACCTGGCTCCATCTGACAATTCTTTGGATTCCCCGTGCCTGCTTATATCTGCTACTGATCCATGTTACCGACCCCGACTGGGATTTAAGATTCTACCTGCTGATTTTGTACCTCACTGCCAGCACGTTGCTGACACCTGCCTGACTCTGACCTCGTGATTCTTTACCTATCTGCCTTACTTTTACAGAATTAGACTTGTGATCTGACTCTTCATTTCTGCTCATCCAACCTCAATATCTCCAAGTTAACGTTCATTTAACTGACTTCCTAGTACCTGCGTCCTTCTGCTGTCATAGCATTCCCTGTCTTCACTGTCACGACCCGCGGCCGCCACCACCAACAGGCGACAATCGCACAGCCGCGACTAACAGTAATACGTCACGCCCACGGCGTCAGACCCCAGACCTTCTCACCAAAACTGGTGACCGAAGGGCCGGCCGATCCAAAACCGCGGTGTGACGCGCGTACCAAGGCCCCACCCAGCTGCACCCTACACAGCGATTGCCCAGCTAATGGACTACAATCGGTGCCTGCAGCCTGAATGCGCTTGTTACTGGGTCGGGTTAGTTACGCAACTAACCCTCTACTGCCACCACCACTTTTGTCGGAGACTGGGAAACTCCCGTTACCAAATATACACTGTAATGATTGAAATATTGATCTATATAGCACGGCCCGCGGACCTACTATATAGAGATATAACCACAGTAGCGTCTCTTCAAAGGCAGGGATTCGTGAATTGCAAGTAAGCGCTTAGAAACAGTTTATCACTTTCAGAAAGAAAGATTTATTACTAAAAGCGTTGGATGCAAAATAAATATGAACAAAGAGATATCACAAGAATATATATATATGTATATAAAGACACAGCAAACATAGAATAGCGAGAAACTACAGGGTAAGTTACTTGCCTTGCCTGGTTTTAGCAAATTCAAGTTGTGAGCCGAAAGGTTCTTTGATCTCCTCTGTTACGATGTTGCTCGGAGATCCCTGTGTGTCTGTGTGTGTGAACTAACGCACTTACTCTCTTAAAGGTTCCTCTCAGGGGCAGGGAGGGGGCTCTGACTACACGTTTTGGGAGTAGTCATTGGGGAACTCTAAACTAACTACAACTCATCCCCCATGATATGAAACATACAGTGCAGTTTTCTTATCTTGATTAAGATGGGGGAGGAAATACACTTACAACCTTTATGACTGCTGGACGCAGGATGTCTTAACCTGGTTGACCCCCCCACACCATCTGCCAGAAGATAACGTTTGCCTCACAGGAATGCAGGGGGATGTGAGGAGTGATTTGAGAAATGCCTCAGATAAACAGATAGAACACGAAAACGAGGGTTGAGGGGGAACTCCGCTCCAATTCTGATGAGCAAGTTTGCCACATTCACCACCAGGGGTGCTTAGACGGAAATTGTGCATGCGTCTTTTTTTGCATCAACTAAGCTAAGTCTATTACTGGCCCCCTACAAGGATTGTGCTTAACCACTAGCCTACAGGGCACTTATACCCCCTTCCTGCCCAGGCCAATTTCCAGCTTTCAGCGCTGTTGCACTTTGATTGACAATTGCTCAGTCATGCAACACTGTACCCATATGAACTTTTTATCATTTTTTTTGTGACAGATAGAGCTTTATTTTTGTGGTATTTAATCAACTCTGGGTTTTTTATTTTTTCTTAAACAAAGCAAAAACCACTGAAAATTTTGAAAAAAAAATATTTTTTCTTAGTTTTTGTTACAAAAATTTTGTAAATAAGTGATTTTTTCTCCTTCACTGATGTGTGCTAATGAGGGTGCAGTGATAGGCACTGATAGGCTGCACTGATGGACACTGATAGGTGGCACTGATGGGCACTGATGAGGAGGCACTGGTAGGTGGCACTGATGGGCATTGACAGGCATCACTGATGGGCACTGAAAGGCAGCACTAATATATGGCACTGATAGGCAGCACTGACTGGCACTGATAGGCGGCACTGACTGGCACTGTTAGGTGGCACTGACTGGCACTGATAGGCGGCACTGACTGGCACTGTTAGGTGGCACTGATAGGTGGCACTGATAGGCGGCACTGACGGGCACTGATAGGCGGCACTGATGCGCACTGATAGGCGGCACTGATTGCAGCACTGATAGGTGGCATTGATTGGCATTGATAGGTGGCACTGACTGGCACTGATGGGTGACACTGAAAGGCAGCTCAGATGGGCACTGATATGTGGCATTGATGTGCACTGGTAGGCACTAATATGTGGCATTGATGTGGCACTGATGGGCACTGGCACGTGGCATTGATGAGCACTGACAGCTGGCACTGATGGACACTGACAGGTGGCACTGCTGGGGCTACACTGATCATCAGTGCTCTGATGATCAGTGTACATGTCCCCTCCGTGGAATGCCGATTACCAGCTCTCCTCTCCTCCTCTCGAGCTGTCAGCGTGACAGCTCAAGAGGAGAAAAATGCCAATAACCAGCATTTCCCTGTTTACATGTGATCAGCTGTGCTTGGACACAGCTGATCACATGACCGAGCCGACATCATCGGCTCTTTCCGTGGATCGGTGATCCGCTGTGTCGGAGGGAGCCACGCATGCACGGTTAGAATGGGAGGACATCATATGACGTCCTCCCAGAATGAGAGAACCACCTTGCGTCCGTCATATTACTATATGGTGGGTGGGAGGAGGTTAAAGTACTGCAGTAGAAAGTTAGTGTCCTCATCATGTACATAGTTCTTTTTAAAGCATTCCTCTCATCTCCAATTCCTATCCAAGTTACCCCTAAAAATAAAAACACCAAAAAGAACACCCCTGCACTGTTTAGTGAGCCAAAAAGTGACTGTGTTTGTGTGCCTGGCTGTGAGGCAACTTTCGGGAAAATACTTCAGCAACCGCTACACATGAGTACTCCAGCTGCATAGGCTGTAGGAAGAAGTACAAAATCATGACAGAATTACAACTTGCTGGAATGGTATTACTGTTTTTTCTATCTAGCAGAAGGGTCACTTTAAGCAATCCAAATTATGAAAACAGTTGCCTAGTTCCTTCAAATTAAATTTTTTAAGAGCTACATTCTTTGAGATTAACCAGACCAAACAAAGAATCATTCATGGTGGTGCCAGTAAACTTATTTGGCAAGATTAACAGTACCAATACACTAGTTAGCTTAACCACTTGCCCTCCACATGATTTACCCCTCTTCCTGACCAGGACATTTTTTGCGTTCTGGCGCTGTGTTACAATTGTGCTGTCACTGCACCCAGATGAAATGTACGTCCACTTTTCCCACTAATTGAGCTTTCTTTTGTTGGTATATGATCGCTTGTGTTTTTTATATTTTTTGCTCTATAGAAAAAAAAAGACTGACAATTTTGAGAAAAAAACTATAATTTTGACTATTTACTATTAAACATGTCCGGTAAAAAAAAAATAAAAAAATCAAATTTTGCCATAAACTTTGGCCAAGGTGTATTCTGCTACATGTCTTTGCTAAAAAAAATCCCAATACATGTAAATTAATTGGTTTACGTGAAAGTTATAGCATTTACAAATGGCGGTATAGTTACTGGAGTTTTTTAAACATTTTTACTAGTAATGGCGGCAATCAGTGACTTATAGCGTCACTGCAGCGGGCATTCTGACACTGGGGGGAACTGACTTGGTGTCACTGACTTCCCCAGTGAAACCAATACAGTGATCAGTGCTAAAAGAAAAAAGCACTGACACTGTACTAATGGCACTTTGCAGGAAGGGGTTAACATGAGGGGCGATCAAAGGGATATCTGTGTGCTGTGTGCTATTTAACTTGTGTCTGTGTGTGTGTGCTTCACTGTAATCACACTGCTTTGGATGGCTGTGCTGTGCACAGCCATCCAAAGCAGTGTGCACTAGTTGGCAGGGAGGAGAACTGTATTGTTTACATACAGTTCTCCTCCCCATCAGAGAAGCTCGGCAATCACTGGACACCGACGTGTAACAGCCCCCTACCTGGAAAAGCAAAATAACGTGTATATATACATGATTTTGCACACCCGTGCCTCCCTGTAGCAGTATATCTGCTAAAGGGTGGTCAGGAAGTGGTTAGAGTGTTACTAAACCCAGGACCCTGCATTAACTATATCTGGTCTCCCACAGTACACAGAACATGGAAATGCAATTATTTTACTAAATATAAACTGCAAAATACCTTTTCTTATCAGCAGTACAGGTGAAACTCGAAAAATTAGAATATCGTACAAAAGTTAATTTATTTCAGTAATGCAACTTAAAAGGTGAAACTAATATATGAGATAGACTCATTACATGCAAAGCAAGATAGTTCAAGCCGTGATTTGTCATAATTGTGATGATTATGGCTTACAGCTCATGAAAACCCCAAATCCACAATCTCAGAAAATTAGAATATTGTGAAAAGATGCAATATTCTAGGCTCAAAGTGTCCTACTCTAATCAGCTAATTAAGCCATAACACCTGCAAAGGGTTCCTGGGCCTTTAAATGGTCTCTCAGTCTGGTTCAGTAGGAATCACAATCATGGGAAAGACTGCTGACCTGACAGTTGTGCAGAAAACCATCATTGACACCCTCCATAAGGAAGGAAAGCCTCAAAAGGTAATTGCAAAAGAAGTTGGATGTTCCCAAAGTGCTGTATCAAAGCACATTAATAGAAAGTTATGTGGAAGGGAAAAGTGTGGAAGAAAAAGGTGCACAAGCAGCAAGGATGACCGCAGCCTGGAGAGGATTGTCAGGAAAAGGCCATTCAAAAGCATTGGGGACTTTCACAAGCAGTGGATTGAGGCTGGAGTCAGTGCATCAAGAGCCACCACACACAGACGGATCCTGGACATGGGCTTCAAATGTTGTATTCCTCTTGTCAAGCCGCTCCTGAAAAACAAACAACGTCAGAAGCGTCTTACCTGGGCTAAAGAAAAACAGACCTGGTCTGTTGCCCAGTGGTCCAAAGTCCTCTTTTCTGATGAGAGCAACCTTTGCATTTCATTTGGAAACCAAGGACCCAGAGTATGGAGGAAGAATGGAGAGGCACACACTGCAAGATGCTTGAAGTCCAGTGTGAAGTTTCCACAGTCTGTGTTGATTTTGGGAGCCATGTCATCTGCTGGTGTTGGTCCACTGTGCTTCATTAAGCCCAGGGTCAACGCAGCCACCTACCAGGAGATTTTGGAGCACTTCATGCTTCCTTCCGCAGACGAGCATTATGGGGATGCTGACTTCATTTTCCAGCAGAACTTGGCACCTGCCCACATTGCCAAAAGCACCAAAACCTGGTTCAATGACCGTGGGATTACTGTGCTTGATTGGCCAGCAACCTCACCTGACCTGAACCCCATAGAGAATCTATGGGGCATTGCCAAGAGAAAGATGAGAGACATGAGAACGAACAATGCAGAAGAGCTGAAGGCCGCTATTGAAGCATCCTGGTCTTCCATAACACCTCAGTAGTGCCACATGCTGATAGCTTCCATGCCACACCGCATTGAGGCAGTAATTGCTGCAAAAGGGGCCCAAACCAAGTACTGAGTACATATGCATGCTTATACTATTCAGAGGTCCGATATTGTTCTATGTACAATCCTATTGATTGCATGTAATATTCTAATTTTCTGAGATTGTGGATTTGGGGTTTTCATGAGCTGTAAGCCATAATCATCACAATTATGACAAATCACGACTTGAACTATCTTGCTTTGCATGTAATAAGTCTATATCATATATTAGTTTCACCTTTTAAGTTGCATTACTGAAATAGATGAACTTTTGCATGATATTCTAATTATTCGAGTTTCACCTGTATATAGTAGTCTTGTGACTCCTACTAGCGTTCTGCTGAGCACTGGTTAAAGCTTGTAGGAGGAGTTTTCATTCTCTTCTGACTGACCTATAAGGCTGCTTAACCCCTGGTCCTCTGTCTGGACAGTGCTGATCACATACACCCCCCCAAAAAAAAAAACTACTATCTAGCAATACACACTAAACTGAGCATGTGCAGAGTACTTCCTAGAGCTCTGTACTATCAACAGATGGATTGTGGACAGTAGAAGAAGGCAAGGATCAAAGAAGACAGGATCAAGCCGTCTTTTTACACAATGTGGAAGATTAACCCTCTTAGGTACCACAGTGAATATAACAAGCATGCTTTACTGCATATACAGACTACTTTTACTGTTGTGGGTTTAGTAACACTTTAGGGGCATTTAAAATCCCTCATTATTATCCTTGTGCTTGTACAGTCTTTTCATGTCAGACATTGAGTATCTTCTGCCTTATTATTATTCTAGTGCATGTAACATGCTCCAGTAATGAATTTATAGGTTTGTAAATCCCCATGTTATTCCATTCAGTATACCCTTCACATCATCACAAACTTCATCCATCATTTCATCTTTCATACTGGGTTTTAGATCATTTCTAACGCAGAAAAATACTACTTTTCTGTTTACCCTGCTCCTCAGAAAGAGAGCATAGCTGGGAATATTAACAATCCAGTCATGTGAAAAATCAATGCCATTCAGTTTTGCATATTGATTTATGATAGGCTTTTTAATTTGTAGGTTATTTATTCAGCTGCTCAGTGTGCCATTAACAGCTGCACTAGAGAAGATTTCTTCAGGCCAAAATACTAAGCCCTGGTTGAAAGCACCAATAAACAGGCACAAAACAATTGTGCCATGCTTTGATCTAATTATAATATTTAGCAACTGTACATGAACCATATACTGTAGAGGCGACTCTATAGTTATAAAAATGCATTCATTTTTTAATAAATTGTTTTTCATACGCAACAAGAGTTTAGCATCAGTAACTTACAGCAGCAGCCCTAAAGACGATATTTAGGCCTCCACCCACCACCCTTCCACTGACCATTGGCCTACTGTTATAGTTAGATGCACCTTCACTTAAGTTTACATCTGTATCCCTCACCCGTGCTGGTTCTGGGGCCATAGTTAGTCAATCTAGCATTACAGTAGACTGTTTGCATCTTCCAGATGTCACCAATCTCTGCAATCTTCAAAAGATCCCGCTGCTAGACAGCCAATAGGAAGTGTCCACGTCACCCATATGAACATCTAAAGAAGGACCCTTCTGGACTAGAGGAATGTCTTTTTGCTCTATGAAAGAAGAGAAGAGAATTCAGGCTGTGGACTACAGATTTTGGTGAAAAATTTGGGCTTTTAGGATAGTCTTTATTAAAAGTGATTGGTAAACCCATATTTTTTTAAAAATCACAAACATGTCATACTTAACTTATCTGTGCAATGGTTTCACACAAAGCAGCCCCATCCTCTTCTTTTTGGATCCCCTGCAGGTGTTCTTGGCTCCTTTCTGTAATGGCTATTTTGGGCCTATGATAATTTTTACTTTTCTGAACATTAGTGTGAACTTTTGATAGGGGTCTAAGTATAAGCCAGCCTTGGAATTCTCTGGCTGTCATGTTAAATA